AAGTTGACAAACAAAATCAATCAGTTTAAGTTGACCAACAAAATCAATCAGTTGAAGTTGACAAACAAAATCAATCAGTTGAAGTTGACCAACAAAATCAATCAGTTTATGTTGACCAACAAAATCAATCAGTTGAAGTTGACCAACAAAATCAATTAGTTTAAGTTGACCAACAAAATCAATCAGTTTAAGTTGACCAACAAAATCAATCAGTTGAAGTTGACCAACAAAATCAATCAGTTGAAGTTGACAAACAAAATCAATCAGTTGAAGTTGACAAACAAAATCAGTTAGTTTAAGTTGACCAGGGATTTATTAACAATCAGAAAGGTGAAATTGTAAGATTAAAGATAGTATTTCTATTGCTGTTTTCAAGATATTTCCTCACAAGAAAACCTTTGAAAATTTCCCGGAATAGAAATGATAGAAAAGAGTTAAAGTAATTATCTGATTTTTGAAGCCGAAACAAGATACAAATTAACACTAAGTTTCATTAAATTTGATTAACATCATCACCCAGGTCCCAAAATTGATAGGTAATTCAGACTCAGACTTCAACTACTTGTCAATTAATAAGTAGCCACCGGTTGTTATGGAAACCTAATAGCTGCTGGGTATTTGAATATTAAATATACAGCTCAAGTCGTTACCCTATAGGACAAGGATTTACAACATTACAAACACTTGTTAATATCACGGAACCTAAAAACTGGACTGTAACTTGTTTGATCAGCTGCATCAGAATAAAATCGGCTTCTAAGTTCTATAGTGTGATTTTAAACTCCATACACAGAAAGTACGTTAACACTATATTAATAAAAACACGGCTGTGGCGATAGACATGTGGACTTTGACAATTTCCAAGTGGCAAACATTTCGAGCGACAGGTAATAAGTAACTGCTTTAATAATGTTTTCTTGATTTCCCTTGATGTTTTGAGGGAGTTACATTTGCGTTTGTTTAATATATGCTTTTTCTCGAACTAGACAAAGATACCAAGAAGACATACTTTTCTCTACAAAGAGCACATCATGAAAATTACAATTATTTTACTGAGTTTAGTTTTAATAAAATCAGGAACAACTCAGACAAACATGCCTAACCAGACGATGGAGAGAGACTACTTTGGAGAAATTTGTCATTTGATGACAAATGGTGAGTTTTGTTGTTGTTGTTTTTTATATCAGAGAGATATATAGAGGGAAAGGGGGGTTTTAGAGTATTTTTAATAGTATGAGAATTGTTTATTAATTTATTATCCCCCTAATATAACAATTCTTTAGTAAAATATTGTTAAACGGATATCATTATTACTGTCAACTTCTTAAAAAAAATACGTCTTGTTCTTGTAACATTTGAAGAACACTAAAATTACATTTTACATCAGTAATATACAAACACTGGCATTAAATATGGATTTTTAAACTTGTTAACTTTAATACTACCTACTAGCTCTCTGGAGTAACATCATACAACTACTGATCAACTCTTTAGAGTAACATCATACAATTACTGATCAACTCTTTAGAGTAACATCATACAATTACTCATCAACTCTTTAAAATAACATCATACAATTACTCATCAACTCTTTAGAGTAACACCATACAATTACTGATCAACTCTTTAGAGTAACATCATACAATTACCGATCAACTCTTTAGAGTAACATCATACAATTACCGATCAACTCTTTAGAATAACATACATACAATTACCGATCAACTCTTTAGAATAACATAAAATTACCGATCAACTCTTTAGAGTAACATCATACAATTACCGATCAACTCTTTAGACTAACATAAAATTACCGATCAACTCTTTAGAGTAACATCATACAATTACCGATCAACTCTTTAGATAACATCATACAATTACCGATCAACTCTTTAGAATAACATCATACAATTACCGATCAACTCTTTAGAATAACATCATACAATTACCGATCAACTCTTTAGACTAACATAAAATTACCGATCAACTCTTTAGAGTAACATAAAATTACCGATCAAATCTTTAGAGTAACATAAAATTACCGATCAACTCTTTAGGCTAACATAAAATTACCGATCAACTCTTTAGAGTAACACCATACAATTACCGATCAACTCTTTAGATAACATCATACAATTACCGATCAACTCTTTAGACTAACATAAAATTACCGATCACCTCTTTAGAGTAACATCATACAATTACCGATCAACTCTTTAGAATAACATCATACAATTACCGATCAACTCTTTAGAATAACATCATACAATTACCGATCAACTCTTTAGAATAACATCATAAAATTACCGATCAACTCTTTAGAATAACATCATACAATTACCGATCAACTCTTTAGAGTAACACCATACAATTACCGATCAACTCTTTAGAGTAACATCATACAATTACCGATCAACTTTTTAGAGTAACATCATACAATTACCGATCAACTCCTAACCTATATTGCCCTACACATCTTGAGTAATATCATAACTTATATTATCCTACACATCTTAAGTAATATCCTAACCTATATTACCCTATACATCTTAAGTAATATCCTAACCTGTATTGCCCTACATATCTTGAGTAGTATCTTAACCTATATTATCCTACACATCTTAAGTAATATCATAACCTATATTACTCTACACATTTTGAGTAATATCCTAACCTATATTGCTCTACATATCTTGAGTAGTATCTTAACCTATATTATCCTACACATCTTAAGTAATATCATAACCTATATTACTCTACACATTTTGAGTAATATCCTAACCTATATTACTCTACATATCTTGAGTAGTATCTTAACCTATATTATACTACACATCTTAAGTAATATCATAACCTATATTACTCTACACATCTTGAGTAATATCCTAACCTTTATTACTCTGCACATCTTGAGTAATATTCTAACCTATATTACTCTACACATCTTGAGTAATATCCTAACTTATATTGCCCGTTATTTTTCTGAAGTAACATTACCTCTCTGGGTAAGCATCACATTTCGGCAAAACTTTCGTTAATCGTTTGATGTTACGTATACTTTCTGAGAAACGTTTATAATTACCTAACGCTTTAAATTGTGATTTATCAGAAACAATAACTGTTTGACAGTAACCGGTTTACTGGAATATACAGCACTTCTATTGTGTATAACCGAGGACAATTTTTCAGAAGATCTGTTGTTTGATTTCTTTTACAGAAAATAATACTGTCGTTGAAAAACGCAATGAATGCTTGGAAATGATTCGGGTATGTTTATGTATACGTTATTTATATATATATGTTACTTAACTTTTATACAATATGTAGGTAAGGAAATAAAACATTTAATTTGCACACACTAAAGAAAAACGTTTAAATATCCAACATTAAGTCTACATTAAAATACGTTATTTAGTGCTAGAGTTTTGATTAGTTGAAATGAGATGTCCAATTAGTCCAGCTTTCACAGGAACCAGATACACACAAAAATCTCCACTAGAGGTCCACATTGGATGCTTTATTTCTGAAAGGATTTCTTTTGTTCTGTAGTAGAACTCTGGATTTCGGAGCTGGTGAGCCGGGTTCGAATCCATGCGATACCAAGAAATATTTTCTTAGCGTGGATTTTTGCTGACGAGCTGGGTACCTTCCCGCTGGTCAGTGTAGTTCAAATTTGGGGTCAGTAGCAGATAAACTTGGTAGCTTTTCCATAAATAGAAAATATTTGTATGAAGTTATTACTTCAGATATATCACGAACATCTAATGATATAACATGTATTTACTTTCATATTTTTTACAACAAAGTTTCATATTTAAAGTTGAGATTAATTAGCGTATTAGTATTTTGTACGCCCTTTCTAAGCTGGAGAATCATGATTATAATTAATTATACTTGTTATAAGACATTAGTATTAGGCCTCATATACTTTTAACACTGCATTTCTTATGTAGGTCCTTAGGGATATTCAAGAATTAGAAGAGTATATAATAATAGTATTCCAACCACACCCTGTTCGTCATATCAATGATGAGCTCTGGATTGAGCGAAATGCGTCACGATAATGGAAATGGCAAATATAGTGTGGTTGGAATACTACTATATACACTTTAGACATTCTTTAAAATCCCTATGGGACTACATAAAGAATGTAATGTAAAGAAATATAATAGGCTTAACACTAATGCCTTATGACATGTATAATTAATTAGCATATTTCTTTGAGCTATTTCTTTTAAATCTAAATTCAGTAGGAAAGGAGTTTTGAGAGGGAACAAAAATCCGAAACAAGAGGTTAAAATTTGCTTTGTTTGTTTGTGTCTAAGTGCAAAGCTATACAATAGGCTATTTGAGATGTTTTAATCATTTGTATTGAACCCCGATTTAATTTGATAGACTTTCCAACCTAATAACGACTGGATAACATGTCGGAAAACGACGGGTGCAGAGGACAAAGCTGACAACGATCTATGGAAAGAAATTTGCAAAGTACCACCAGAGGGCGTTGGAGAAATGGTAATGTAATAATATTTCTTTTGTTGAGTTCGAGTTCGTTTCTGCTTTAACATTTCTTTTACAGTCTTTGTTTTCGACTCATTCATATTATTCTCATCATGTTCAACAAAACATTTATGTCATAATTCAAGCACGGGCGTAATTGAAAACTACGTAATTCATCCAATAGAATTCGCGTATGAACTATGACCAATGAATATCATAAGTTAAGCCTAACTTTGTTTTACCAATTCATCTTAATTTGTTTTTTAATGATTGACCAATGTCTCGTACGATGTACTAGCAAGCACTCCAACAGAAACTATTAAAATCCTATTTCTTCTAATGACAATCTCAAACAAACGGCCTTTAACGTGGGCAAAAGCTCTCTCAAACTAACACATCTACAAAATACAATAGTGACCTCATAAATCCTACAAGTAATAATCAACTCCTTCCCCATGGTTCCAACATAATACAAAAAATGGTTATAGGTTTTGTGTTAAATTCATTTTTTAAATCAACATGTTTTCCTAATATCATGAATTATATTGTAAATTAGTATGAGTAGGACAAAGCAAAGAAGCTTTATATGAAGCTGTGCTACACTGTACGTGGAAGGGTACAAAATGTTAGGTGAAAATGTGCAGGAATGTGGGTGATGGTGTACACCACTTTAGGTGAAGGTGTAGAGGAGTGTAGGTGATGGTGTACACAACTTTAGGTGAAGGTGTAGAGGAGTGTAGGTGATGGTGTACACAACTTTAGGTGAAGGTGTAGAGGAGTGTAGCAGGTGGTGTACACCACTTTAGGTGAAGGTGTAGAGGAGTGTAGGTGATGGTGTACACAACTTTAGGTGAAGGTGTAGAGGAGTGTAGGTGATGGTGTACACAACTTTAGGTGAAGGTGTAGAGGAGTGTAGGTGATGGTGTACACAACTTTAGGTGAAGGTGTAGAGGAGTGTAGGTGATGATGTACACAACTTTAGGTGAAGGTGTAGAAGAGTGTAGGTGATGGTGTACACAACTTTAGGTGAAGGTGTAGAGGAGTGTAGGTGATGGTGTACACAACTTTAGGTGAAGGTGTAGAGGACTGTAGGTGATGATGTACACAACTTTAGGTGAAGGTGTAGAGGAGTGTAGGTGATGGTGTACACCACTTTAGGTGAAGGTGTAGAGGAGTGTAGGTGATGGTGTACACCACTTTAGGTGAAGGTGTAGAGGAGTGTAGGTGATGGTGTACACAACTTTAGGTGAAGGTGTAGAGGAGTGTAGGTGATGATGTACACAACTTTAGGTGAAGGTGTAGAGGACTGTAGGTGATGGTGTACACCACTTTAGGTGAAGGTGTAGAGGACTGTAGGTGATGGTGTACACAACTTTAGATGAAGATGTAGAGGAGTGTAGCAGGTGGTGTACACAACTTTAGGTGAAGGTATAGAGGACTGTAGGTGATGGTGTAAAGTTTGAACATAAATATGGTATATCAGATGAGGTCAAAATATTATAAAATAAACTAATTTATTAAATACATTTCATACAGATGTATGTCTGCCTGAGAAAGGACTCAAAAGAGAGGAAACAGAAAAGCAAATGGATTGAAGTAAGATTCATGTCTTTACCAACTATTGACAGTTGTAACATTAACATCATTTGTCATTAGGCTTTAAAAATCTTTATTAAAAAAACAAACTAGCTTTACATAATTCACGATATTTTCGCAATATTTTTTTATCCAACAATTATATCAATATTTCATCTTTTTTTTTCTTAGTGGGAAGAACATTTAACAGAGATGATTTAAAACACTAGAAATAACACAGCGATGTAAACATTTTAAAAGACTGTAGTATTTTTGATTTTTTTCATCAAAGGTTATGTGATGAGAAATTCTATAAGCTCTAAAAACATTGAGGTTATATATACACCTGGAAAAAAGTTAAGCACTCCCAAATATTTTTCAGGATTGCTTATTGAAAATAAGGTTTAATTTTCATGATGTTGAGCAATGTTCATAATTTCAAACATAATTAAAAGGATGTGAGCGTTCAGGTGTGACATTTAAATCAGGCGCGTTTTTTTCCCCACGTGCAACTTGCTCCCTTC